TCCAGTTCCAACCTTCCTGCCATGGGCAGGGACACCTTCCACTAGACCAGGTTGCTCCAAGCCTCATCCAGCCTGGCCTTGGACACTTCCAGGGATGGGGCATCCACAGCTTCTCTGGGCAACCTGTCCCAGTGCCTCCCCACCCTCTCCGGGAAGAACTTCTTCCTGATATCCAATCTAAACCTCCCCACTTGCAATTTAAACCCGTCACCCCTTGTCCTGTCACTACAGGCCCTTGTAGGAAGTCGATGCAGTCGTGCTCTTTCTGCACTTAGCGGCAGCACGAAGGGTTCTCGGCTCGCTTGTCGCGACCGCGCGTGCGGCCCGCTGCCGGGTGGTGGCTGAGCCTGCAGCACCGCGCAGGAGGCACGGAGGATGAGAGCGGCAGGCTGTGTTTTCTGCCCCGGTGCCATTCTTGTTCCTAGGAAGCAATCCCAACCTCAGCTGCAAGTTTTCCGTGGGTCATTTCTTCAGTCAGTCGGCCTAAGCGGTCTGTAAATACAGATGGAGTGTAATCACCTAAGCTGTCATTAAAAGATTGATCTCAATCAGCAGAGCCTGATTGTCACCTGAAACCCTGCAATTAACACAATGACTGGTATTTTTGAGAAAATAGCCGAGCGGGGCTTGATTAACAGTGCTATCTCAGGAGTGGCCTTTTCCAGTATTCATTACCGTCAAAGCTGTCAGTCCTGCATTTTGTGTTATTTTGAAGAGATTTCACAACAGGTAGCACTAAACGGATACGTGCAAGATGGGCTTTACCTGGCTTCTGGAGATTTAGGTTACAGAGTTAAAGTGCCTGAATTTTTTATGTGCTTCATGTATCGATGTAGCAAGGAATTAAAAATAAAGGGAACCCATCTTGTGCGATGAATCAGAGGCTTTACACCGAACTTGAATGTAGACTGGGTAAAACCCAAACCCAGATTGTGTAGAGCTGGGGGGCGAGAGGGGAGGGAGGGAGGTTGTTTGAATTGTAGCTGATTGTTCTCAGGCCCCGAGTTCAGTACCTAGTTCGTTACATCCAAACTAGCACCCCCGGTCACCTGGTGTTTGCTGAAGGTTGAGGTTTGTAACCAAACCACTATATATATATTTTTTTTTTTTTTTTGGCTGCTTTTTGTGTATGCTACATTTTCAGGGTTTTATTTCCCCTGCCAGAGTTCTACTTTGTTTTGTTCCATAACTACTTTCCCTCCTTTTATTTTAATCCATAATCACGTAATTCCTGTTCCCGTTTTATCAAAACAAGCTATAAGGAGCAAAGTATAAATAGCTGCATCTTGTGTAGTTACTGTAGTATGTGTGTAGCTGCATAGTTTCATGGAAGAGTACATAACTTCCTGGGTTACGGTTCATTCCACATGGCTCCGTACAAACAAACAAGCCTGGAGCGACACTTGGGACAGTTACACCTTGCTTTGGTCACCTGATCTGTCAGCGTTGGTCTCTAGGGCAATCCAAGAACCTTTAGTAGCCTACGGGACTACATGTTTAATGCAGTTCCACTGAAAAAGGAAACCCTTTTCTGGTGTGATTATGGACTTTTTTGATTCACAATTCCTTTTTCAGTGGCCGCGTATTTCTGACAAAGATAGAAAAGTTTCTAAGGTAACTTTCTGAAACCTTTTGTCCTTCTTGTGAACTCCCTGTATTTTGTTGCTGCTACTCTTAGCATCTGATACTAGATTAACCTATTTCTAGTCATCTCCAGTAATTTATAGGGGGGAGGGAAGAAGAATTTTAGTTACAGAATTCAATGTTATTAAAACACCACTTTGAGGAGTTGTGCTGCTACTACAGGGAATATTTCTGTTCTGGCCCACTTGAGGTCTGTTCCTGTTGTGAAGAGAAGCATTTGCTGAAAGACTGATTTCTGTGTAGAGGCAGGCTGTTGTATTTGTAAAGCCTTGTCCTGTTGGACTGTTTTCGACTGAAAAAATAAACACATCCTATTTTTTCTGTTGAAGATGACCTGAAGCGCAAGGGGATGTTTCTAGGGGAAGGTGTATAATATTATAATTCTAGGTAATAACTGAACTTCGGAAAGGAGCAGTGGCAGATATAGTGCAAATAGCAGAGGCTATCAGACAAAGCAAGGGATAAAATACATTTTCTGGGTATATGATAAGGTAAGAAAAAGCAATAATGGTAAGTGCGTTATTTCTCTACTTTCTTTCTACAAATGGGTTTTAAGCTCGCTTGCGAGTTCTGGCATTGCGTGCAGTTTCTACTTCTGCACTGTTCATCTACAAAGCCTCGTATTTGCTTAAACGTTATTTCTCCACGAGAATCAAAGCAAATTACACGGTTGCCTTCAAGACCACTTCATGTGGAACTGCCGTCCTTCAGGAGTACAACCCACCTTCTGTGCTTTCCAAGTGGAGCTTTGGCTAAATGGTTTTTGGGATATCCATAAGCTCTGCAGTACTGCTGTAGTAATGAGTTCAGATTTTGTGTTGTAAACTCGCTCTTCCAGTATTCATTTAAAGCTTTAAGCTTCCATTCGTATTTCATAACTTGAGTGTTTTTTCTAAAGACATTTCAAAACTTTAATTTGTATGTCTAAGGTTATCCTGAAGTTCTAGAACATATAAAATTATTAAATAAGACTTTGATTTTAATCTACCTTTTTTCTTTTTGATTAAAACCTTATTTTTTTCTTTGCTGGCATAGAATTATTTATACCCCGACACACGTAGTCTGAATTATTTTTATAATAATTCTTGCAGTCTTGCAGTTGCCACCTAACTGCGTTGGGGGTACCAAAGCTGGTTGTCCCTGTGTGGTGCTGCTCTGCGTGAAGCTTCAAATACACTTCCCAGTTTTTCCTACTTGTAGTGCTTTTTTCCTTTTCCATACTACAGTGTCCTGTCCTCTGACAAATTACGATGATTTTTTTTTTTTGCATATCAAATCATTACTCTCACTGTCATTATGATCAAGTGTTTCCTGGGCCAGAAAGGGAGAGGGAGAAGCATGTTTGAAGGAAATAGCCACAAAGAATTCCTAGTTTAAGCGCAGCTGGAGGAAGATGAATGGATGTTAATACACTTAGTGATTAGAGGAGCATAATAGATCCACCAGGTTTCTGCAAAAGGGTGGGCTAGGTGATTACTGTAACCCTTCCTGGATTTAAAGGTAGGAGAACAGCTTCCTCTGTGGATTAGGATTCTGTCAAAAGTGCAATATATAGAATTATGGGGTTTGTTTATAGGAAACAATTTCTACCCTATCTGTCTTCCTGGATCCTATGATGAAAATGTGAGGGCAACTCCTATTCAAGTTGCTGCCTAGTGCAGGATGTATGTATGCAGATTTCTTCAAAATCCTGCAGTTGCTCTGCATAAATTCCGAACTAGTGGGCTAGAGATGAGTGCTTATCCAAAGACAAGGTCACGCTGCTGTGCTAAGTCCCACTTGGAGTACTGTGTCTCTGGAGCTGGCTGGAGTCAGCCTGCAGCACAGACCTCTCTGCAAAATTTATGCACAGGCCAGTTTTTATCTAGTGCAATGTGCAGATGGATTTACGTATAATCTGAGATGAAAGACTGTTTAATGTGAGATTAAAGCCTGTTTAATCTGAGCACAGAGCATTTGGATTGCAGTTAATTTGTTTAGTTGGTCTAAAATACAGATGGAGATAATACAGGTTGGTGTGAAGGGCCACGCAGACACGTGATATCTGAGGGAGGGACTCAGATCTGTAGCTGAACCAGTCAAATGGGCCTTCTGCCAAAACAGGGGAATTCCTGCTTCACTCTTCCCTTCAGTGTTCCTAACTACGCACTTGGATCCCGCCTTTCACGTGGGCTCTGCTGCTCGTGAGTGCCTCCGGCGAGGCCCTCCTCTGCCCACGCTGTGAAGGCCTCACCTGAAACCTTAGCTCCGCAAGGCAACCAGCGTTAGGATCTTCTCGCGGTCCGATCGTACCACCTGACTGGCAGCTGGAAGACAGGTGGTTTGGAGTTGACTTACAATAAAAATCATAAATACACTCTGCAGGGACTTAGTAGAGTGATGGCAATTCAGTAAGTTAAATAACTAAAGCACTGGGCATATTTAGACAATACCGTGCACACTCCATTCTACTCACCCCTGCGTGCGCTTGTTGCATTTTTAATAAACCTCTCTCTGGGAGATAGTTTTATCGTTGGGTTCGCTCCTTAGATTGGATTTTATTTTGCTGTTCCACCAAAATGAAGTGGTGGAACACCTTCCCATGCTTTTCTAAATGGATTTTGAATGTATGTTTTGAATACTTAAGTAAAAACTGGACAGAATAAACAACCTCTCGGGCATCAGAGGAGGCAAAAGGCAGACGCAGCAGCCTGAGTTACACCAGGTGCTGAACGCTGGCGGTCATTAGCAGATGTCAGCACACGCGTGGCTGACAGCAAGTTAAATTGCACCGTGCAGGAGGGGACAAGACAGGTGTTGGAAACGGTTTTAAGCCTTCTAGAGGTTTTGTTGGGTTGCTGTGAAGACCATGAAAGCCTTTTGAGTCCATGTGAAAGATACTCAGCCACTAAGGACGAGCATTCATAAAAAAAAAAAACTAATGAAGTGGTATTAAAATAAAGTATATTGACTTTTTATTCACTTTTATTAATTACATGTTTACATTTATGAATTTACAGATTTACTTCAGATTAGTATTTTAAGTTATCCATTCTATAATCACATGTGCTTGAGAGCACGCAGTGCTGTCCAACTTCAGTGACATTTACATGGAAGAGACACTTCATGAGAAGTACAACAGTGTGTAACAATGCACTACCAGCTAGGTGTTTATTTCAAAACAGTATAGGCCTACAAGCACTGTTTCGGTTTTACAGGAATATGTAAAGTTACTCTTTCCAAATCAGCAGGTTTTTTACACTGTTGGAGCTATTTTACTAATTAACCAGTGAACAGGGAAAACAACAAAACAAAAACAAACCTGACTAGGAAGTTAAGTGCACTTAAGACATCCTAAGGAAGAGGTAACTAGAACATCAAGGAATAACCTGCATGCCTAGCCCGTTTTCTGCCCACTGGAAAAAGCCACACTGCTTTTCCTTCCCAAGAGGGCACGCAAAAAAGTTCTTCCCATTATTGGGACCAATCTTCAACACGGTCTTCATAACACTTCGCTTGCCATGGTTACAAAATGGAAAATTCAAGTCAGCCCACTGCCAAAAGAAACAGGTTTTAGGTAGTTTTAGCATACGTGGTGGTTATGGTTTCCTTATTTTAAAATTGGCAATAGAAACATATCAACAGGGGAGGCCCTAGAAGAAACTCTTCCTAGCAGTTAAGATAATATGATCTCTCTTGTGATCACTGATAACGTTAATTGCAACCGCATGCACTTCAGTGTAACTTTAATTGATGCTAACGCATCGTTTTCTTCAAATTATGACATGAGCCATGACTGTCACGAGTTCATCTGTTAACTGCCTGGTAGTAGGTGACAGAGGCAAACCCTTCTCAGTCGCATACACTCCTAGGAGGGCGCCACGGCCACCAGCTGCAGGTGGGAGGGTCGGGTCAGGTATCAGCACAGAAGTAGGAACAGTTGCCCTGGTAGCTCACAAAATCTTTGGAGGTTTACAAGATTCTGGCTAGATGAAAACATGGCTGATGTCCAGATCTAGAGTTTGCCTGACGGCGAGTTTGCCACAGTCCTTCAAGCAAGAGGCTCAACTAAATGACTTACACAGGTGCCTTCAAACCAGCATTTCTGCAATGAATCTGTTTTACATCACATGGAAACACACCAAGAGCATTTGCACAAGCAGGTGTCTTCTCAGAAGTAAGAGAACTAACTAAAACTGTTCAGTTTATAACTACTGCTATGCTATTAGTTTCAATTTCAGTGTCCAAAAGTATTTAAAATTACCTCAAACTTTAAAAGGACCATATCTGTCCACAATTACAGATTACTGGGGCAAGGAGGCTGCAGGAACAAGCGCTTATTAGAAAACAGGCCCTGAAGTCTTGTACTTACTTGGAAGTAGTCACACCGAGTTTCTCTGGGTAGAGGACAGGTATAAAACTGCCTGCCCTTGTTTCCTCCGTCCTTTCTCACAACTCTGAGGCTGCAGAGGCATCTGTGTTTACTGCAGCGAGGATGGCCCGTGCTCAACGGATGGGTATCGCCTGTCGTATCAGCTTGAGGCTTGCTGTAATGACAGATCACAACACGGGTCCTGCGTAACCTTAAAGGGATTAGCAGCACCACAGCCAGACAGCACTCTCCTGCCATTACAGTCGCTCACTCGGCGTACTTTTACACGACAACAGCCAGAGAACTTCTTTCTGTAACGCACCCCATCGTGCCTTCACAGCTGAAGGACTGCTAGTAAGAGAGCAGGCAGGCCTGCGTGCTTTTCTTGCAGGTATTATACCAGTTTTCCCCAGCAGCAGCCCATGTTTTAAATGATTTCTGAGTACTCTAATCTACAAGCCAAAATAAGTATTACCACCGCTATTACACTGCCCACCCCAAATTCTAACATATTCTAAAGAGAGCATTGGCTCTCTGTGGGAAAAAGACGAATACAGAGTTATTACTCCAGGTTGTAGGTATCCGTTTCACACACTTCCACCCTCTTTGCTAAAAAGTTACAGCAATGCTCCAAGTCATATCCAGACAAATAATCAGCTGAGGGGAAGGAAGAGTGCTCTCTGAATGGGATGAAGTTCCTTCCTTTCTTCCCTATGACCGAAAAAGAGATTTTCTAAATGCAAGACACAAGGCTTTATTTAAAAACAGCAGCATGAGAAAGTTAACATTCTGAAATTTCTCTTTCCAGTATATTTACAGAGCAGAAAAACAGTGATGAAACCTTAGTGAAAAAAATAAAAGCTAATTAATCCATTCAATAAGTTACCAGCTTAGGCATTTTGTGTTTTCTGTCCTGTCACAGCCCTGCAGACATCAGTGGTTTTCTTCCAACCCCTCATTAAAACAAAAGGAAAAAACCCAACGCTTTGTTTGGTTTTGTTACAAAGTATTTGGTTTTCCTCGGGTTTGGGATGTTTTTAAACGTCTGAGTTGATGACTTGCTACAACAACATCACCGTGACTGACACTGTCTCCTTCCTTCTCTGTGTTCCCAATTACCCTGCCTGCACCCTCAGCTCTCGGCAGTCCTCTACCGGGACAGCAGGGAGAAGCTATATCCAATGCAGCCCAGCCTGGCTTAGCCAGCCTGTTCCAACCTGGTGCTTCAAGAAATAATTTCTGTATTTCAGAACAGACACAGCCGAGAGTTTTATAGCGTACCATAACTATTTCACACTCACCCTGTGCAATTTACCATTCTAAGTGATATCCACCTTGCACTCCCCTTACTGTTGGGTATGTCTGCCCAACCTTTCCTGACAACCCCAATCGTTCCTCACATTTCTCTTAACTAGGCAAAGGACGTGTCTGAATAGGGCTGTGTAAGGAGAACTTCAGGATGGGTAAAGCACTGAAGGAGTTACATGCAGGGTGGGGGAGGAACGTTAAGAGAAAACAGCAACGGGAGGTTCACCAAGGTACCTGTACAGAGCTCCGTATCATGGAAGAATGTTGAAAACTGCCAGCTGACAAATAACTTTCATTAGAGTACATTCATTCAGCTACTTCCCTTCTGTCATCTTTCACAATGACTTCACGATGTAAGCAGACAGCAGCTGCGGTGCTAACGTCAGACAACTCAGAACCGTGCTTGTTGAGCTACCAGAGCTATCTGATTGCACGGGAATAGCTGAACTACCAACAGCAGCTGCGCAGTTAACAGCAGCACTGACCAAAACCCAGGACTTTTCCAGTGACAGCCTAGGTCCTTCGGTGCTTTTGAAATCTGAGTGTAATTTCAGTTACGCGAGAATAAGTTACCTCTGGCAGAAATCCAAAGACAGGAGTGTCTGAACCCAACAGCACATTATTCCATTGATCTTCAGGGATAAAGGTAGCGGATGGGATCATAAGGAGGCTTGTTTACATTTCAGCATCCATACCTGATTGCTGTATTATACTGGTGGACAGAGGGCAGGTGCTCTGTTTTCTGTTTCTTCTGTACATGTCTGATGGTGAGAGGTGGCGGACAGGAGGGCAAAGCCACAGCCGTCACATGTGCCGAGCAATCCTTGTCTGCGCGTCCCCCTGACCGGCAGGCGTTGTTCTGCATTTCATGACAACTGCGTTTTGGAAAACCACGCTCAGAGCGTCCGTTGGACACTTGGGTATCATTTCTCAAAAAAGCTTTGTTCCCAAGATCTGTTAAGACAAGAGTTGTAGTTCCAAACGCAGTTTTCCTATTGATCTTTATTTCTGTGCTTGGTTTTCGGAAATCATTACAAGGGTACTTCATTAAGCTTCCTGCAGAATCTTCACCATTCTCTGTCTTTGGAACTAAGGAAAAATAAGCTATTGGTTATAATCCTTCTGTGCAGAGTGATACATCATACTTCTGATCTGTGTTCGTAAGTCAACATACAGAGTGTGAAAGTAAGTTTACCATTCCGTCTCCGAAGAACCCAAAGCCTGTCACAGATTACACACAGTACCAAGTTTTTTACAATAAAAAAAGCTCATGCACGTTTGGAGTCACGTACAACATGTGTTTCAGGGTGACGTTACTATTGCCTGTACAGAACCAGATGTGAATAGTACTCTGTAAATGAAAGTTACTGGAGAATTAACAATACAAAATTTTGTTTGGCCCAAATAGGGGAATTAAAACATTTAAATTTTTCAAACCAACCTTTTATAACCCCAGCCCTGGGAGACTGCAGAGTACGGTACCTCCCGCAGCACCACGTTACCCATTTCTGAAGTACTGTTTTACTGCTGGCACAAACAGGAGTATTCGTTTGTTGGGTTTTCCAGCGCTCCCTTCACAAACACTGAGCGCACCCGAACGTGCTGATCCCTCCTGTCCGAGTCTTCAGAAGCAAGCAGGTCAGACGTTCCCTTTGCATTTCTCTCCCAGCATGAACAACAGTATCTCTTCTTCACGGAACCAGAGGCCTGCCTAGCAGGCAATAATCATTCCCAAAGAGTGGGCATAATTTATTAATGCCAGTTATAAATAAGGCGTCTGGGGGTAATCTTTCCTGAGAAAAGGGTGGAAAGAAAAACTTTAGGGGGTCCCTACGTGCAATCTTGGCGAAGTAGCTGTGAAGCCACAGTGTTCAAGGCCAGACTCCGTCCCTTTCTACTATCTCCAGCGAGTGTCTCCCTCCTACATCCTCCCTCCACACAGAGAAGAGGGAATTAAGCAGAAGAAAAATGGGTAGGTAAGGCATACGGAAGGACACGCTCTCCCCAGAGGCCGTCTCACTCAGAAACAAGAGTCCCGACAGTTTACTCTGAACAACACTTCACTGCTGCCCAGTGAAACCTACTGGTTCCGGTGCATTTAGACTGGTTTCAGTAAGAACAGGAGCTTGGCCTTCTGCTTAGCAAAGGAGCAAGGAAATTGGGATGTAAGGGTAAACAATTATCCCTGTCCACAGACTGAACTATTTTGGCTGTATGGCCAACAGCTAACTTCACGTAGCACGTAGTCTGTACTCAAAATTCAAACATTTCTGCTGACAGCAGTTAATTTTAGAAATAACACGAAAGACAAAAAATGAACCAAGTGAGAAGGCAAGGAATCTTGCAGTCTGAAAAGGGAGAGGTAAGCAAAATTGTGTTGAAATAAAATCTCAAATACCACTGGGATGCAAAAATAAGTCTCTTCTTTATAAAAAGAACTTCTGTAACAGTATTCCACCAAGTCTAACACTCAGATTCCAGGCCTGTTTTCAGAAGAGGCACACAGCTAAACAAGTGAAACTGAGAAGTACAGGAAAAGGAACCTGTTCTTTTTTGTTACAAAGCTTAAAATAAAGCATTTATGTGCATGCTGTTACATATTTTAAGGTCCAGCTGACAGTATTAATTCCTGGATAAGTGTTAGTTGGTAAATCTGAGCCTGTGGACAGATCTAAACTTCCAGGTTTCTGGTGATGATTTTGCAGGGGAATTATGCAAGATTAGCCTCTGCTGGCAACAAGTGTCATGTAAGGCACAAAGACATACTTTTATTGATTCCTGGCCTGAAAAGAGGGACTTTTGCTGGTGTAAGGTGAGAGTTTCACACATACCACTCCAGCCACTGAAGGACTAACTAGAAGGAAGCAATACTTCAAAAAATGCGTTACAACCTATTTTATAAAAACACAGACCACAAAGTCACTTCTTCAAAGGCTGGGAATTTGGGGGCACTTTGGAAAGTATGGCTCAAAGTACCACCAAAAGCTATGGGAACGTGATCTTTAATTCCGATTTCAGCACATATACCTTTGAGTCATACAGTGAAATTCAGTGCACTTTTCACCATAGGTCCTGGGGCCTACATGTAATTCTTCCCAGATACAAAAAGCCTGTACATTGTTTGAAAACAGCCTTTTTTTCAGTTTTGCAGCACTGGAGCTAAAAAATAAGTTGCAGTATGCACGTTTCAGCCACTTCACTGAATAATTCACTAGACAGTGTGAAGTAAGTGGAGTACTGGTTTTTGATGTAGGAAAGTTTCAACATGGAATTGTTATAGAATTAGCTTTATCCCTAAAAAGCCACGTACATGCACACGTCTATACTTTGTTTCTTGGAATACATGCAGTAATTCAAGACATTTTAGAGCAACAGTCGATCCAAATGACTTCCTGCAAATCCCTTCATAGAGTGATTTACTCACTCCTCCTACAGAAAGTGAAAAAGAATACAAAGCTCCTCTTCACACAGAAAACAAGTCTCAGTGGAAAACTCTGTCATTACCTCGCTCTTCCCTTCTTAATATCTAAATTTCTGTACAGAAATCTGGAAAGAAGCTAGCATCTTTCCATTTCCTTGTCCCTTTTAGGTCTCACTCACAGCTACCTCTGGCCACCAGATCTAGACAGCAGCATTAAAAGCTCCAGTAAGAGACAAACAATACATTTAGGTAAGAAATCCAGAATCTTCCTTACTCTAAACTTGGAGGGAAAAAACTAGCCCCTGAGAAACCCAACATCCTTTTTGGAAAGGATGCAGTACCAAAATATACTGCTTTTGTTCCCATAAGAGAATGATAATTACTTTTCTGCCCCCTGGTGATTTCTGTATCAGACTTATGCTGCAAGCTTCTAATGATGTTAAGGAGAATTGAAGGAATGGTGTTTTGTCTCACTCCTTGTCCCAGTAAAAACAAAGTGTTGCTGCAGAGGCTTGTCTACAAAATCCCACCTACACACGAAGACAAGAGACTTTAAGGGTTTAAAACAAGACAGTTTCTGTGATTGTCCATGTAAGATTCTCCAAAATCTGACTTTGTTAGCTGAAGTTATATAAATGCAATTCACAGCGAGACACTTCTACAGTTGTATAGTTCTGAAAATGCATCAAAACTACACACACACACCCTTTCCCAGCAGAGATTCCAGACAACCTTTCAATACCTTCAAGCCTTGAAGTCAAACAGGCATCACAAATTTCAGCAGAAGGCTTGTTTATCAGGGTACAGCGCATACACGTCCACTCCTCTTCAGATTTCTGAGCTACGTGTTCATTAGAACATGACCCCCTGCCATATGCACAGCCAATTAGGCTATTTCCAGTTGGCAGTTTGCTGTGAAACAAAAGAATGATGTTAGTATTTTGTGACGTTTCTTGCACAGATTGCCTTACACCGCTACGTGCAGGCAGGCACCGGCTGGAGAACAAGCAGTGTGCAGTGCTGCGCCTGCCTCTCACAGCTCGGACAGCGTGTCATGGCTCCAGCTGGATTGTGGGCTTTTTGGCTCTACCTCAAGGGCAAATTTTTCCCAATGCTGCAGAAGTATTACCAATTAAAACAGCTAAACAAAATCAGACAGAAAGTTAATAATTAACTCAAGCACAATGCCCCAGCCTCTCTCAAATTCCCGACCTGTTCTAGTAGTGCAGCAAGAAACTTGGTGAGAAAGGGAGACTGTTCCAGAAGTTCTCCACCAGCCCTTGTACAGAACGCTGACTAACAAATGCATTACTGGCTAAAGGACTGTGCGGAGGCCAAACTGCAAAAGGTCACACAACCTAGCAAGGAAATTTCCTTTTGCTCTTATTTAAGTGGTACCCAATAGATCACTCTCTTACCCTAACAGCCAGCAGAACGGAAAACCTTAAAAGTTGGGAAGTCTTTCTTGCGTGTCAGCATCGGCTGGAAAACCGATTTAACATTTAAGGATTTTCTTTTTACGTTTTGGTGGGGTTTTTTCTCCGCATCAGAACTGAAGAACGTGCTGGCTGTGACTGGTGAACCAACTGAGGAATATCCTGGCTGTGACTGGTGAACCAAAGCTGTACTCCAGACACGTCTATAGATTTCATGTTATTTATTTTCCTGTAAATTATATCACCTCCCGTATTGATACACTGATTTAGAACCAGAGTTACCATTTTATTTTACAGTCACTACATGTTACCAAGGACTAACTCTGTCATAGAATCCAACCACTGTTAGCATATTAAATGTGTTATGTGTTCAGTAAGATGTGTATGTACATTTTTAAGTACTGTGGCTGATAAGTTGTTGGGTGTTTTTCTCCATAGTTGTTCTGGAATTTTTTTTTTTTTTAATCCTAAGAAGTTAAGCACTTCAATTAATAATGCAAATGTTGTCCTTGGGAAGTGTGGTGACACTCCTTAGACCTATCATTTATTCCGTAAGCATCACTCCCCTTAACAGGCTAGATTTCTAAAATAGTGGTAGGGATTATTTTGTAACCTAACACATCTTCCACAACAAGAGAATGGAGGAGGATAATGAGAACTGCTGACATACCCGACAGCCTGTGCTACCAGAGGTAAAATAGACATTACAGTAGCATTCACCAAAATACTGTGGGGCGAGATAACAAATCTCAAAGTGTTAAAAATGTGTATTTTCACATTATTAGACCAGCTGTTCTCCTCAGCTATCGAAGATGCATTACTAGCCTGAGTATGTCATGTTCTGGAGTTTAATTCCATGTCATCCCCCTGGTCCGTCCATCGTTGTCATTCCCCTCCCCATTTTGCAACATGAAATATAGGGGGAAACGTGTATTTTTTAGATTCAAGAGACATTTGAGATTGATGAGGTAATCTCATAACAGGTATTTTCTTCATTTATTCAGCTGAACAAAATCAGAAACTTGCTGCAGTTTCTGATCTGCAGCAAGTCAGTCTGATCACACAGGCTCCCTTCAGTCTCCAGGAGTGAAAAGCTTGGAATGGCAGATAAACTACTTGAGCCACACACACTTTTATTTGGTAACAGTGCAAAACAGAGCAGTAGAACAGAGGCCTGACCATTAGGATGAGGACAGCACACGAAATGACCTTTCTCTTTTATAGCTACCATTATTATGTTTTTCACCGAAATATGCCACTGTTTAATTATTTGCTAAAAAAACCCACCCAAACCACTACTTGTTCAAGAACAGAGAGAGATATTTTTTTCCTTTGCATCATTTTCTAGTTATCTGATCCAACAGAACACTGCTGTCTTACCCTACAAAACATTTCTCATTATTACTTTCTGAAAATTCAGCAGATTGGGGTTATCAGCATGTGAAATATTTGACTTCCACGATGGAATGTTCTATATTTGATCTATACTCAAAGGCAATTTTTTACGTTTTAACCAAAAACCCCTCCAGCCATCTGAATCTTGAAAGAAGGTTGGAGGTGGGAGAGGGATTTGTGTGCTCTGTAAATCTTGTATAAAATATATATATATATACACACACGCTAATGAAGGCCAAGTTTGCAAAGCCAAGCAGTTATCTTGTATTAGATTGACAGAGCTTAGTATAAAAAGGCAAGATTCTGAAACCTCAGATGAAAATTTTCAAGAACAACTTATTTATGTAAAAAGTCTGAATAAGGTGCTTTTGGAACTTTTACCTTTCGACCCTTTGTGATATCAAATGCATTTTGTGCTTTTCTAAAATAAAAGCAGGAAAGCTGCTGCTAGCACAATTTATGTGGAACTGACAGTGTCTCTGTGGCACACCCATCATAAAAGCTTTCCAAATCCGATAAGGAGAAAGGGAAAAAAAAAAAGTCCTAAGCTCTACATTTTCTGTACTCTGAATTTACAAAAGTTTTAGTTATCCTCAGTGTAACTCTACAGCCAGAGCAAAACTGCACTGGTGCGCAGCTCTCTTGATATTCCAGGACTGAAGAGGCTATCCTATGAAAGGCAATGGAGACACAGATTCCTTCCTTCCCTATGACATTCAAGCGTCACAAAGTCGTACCTAACACTGCCCAGCTGGGGATCTGCCGCTTGACATCGAGAGCAGAAGTAAGTCATCCTGTTGTTCTCTCCCAGGCGACACATGGTGATCTTCCCACTGCACTGACCACAGGCCGGGCGCTTGTATACCCTGTAGTGTTTCCAGAGGGGAGACCCCGTTTTGCGGCACTGAAACAGAACGTGTTTAAAACCCAAGTTAGAGACCCAGGACAAATTTTATGTCAGTCCTCCTGCAGCTCAGCTGAAGCTAAAATAAAAAATACCCCACATAAACTGACAGCTCGGTATTTAAGGCACACTCGTAAGGGTTATCACCTGTATTTCATGTTCTTTTACGAAGAGAATTTACTTTAAATCGGGTATTACAGCACCTGGAATTCTTCTCATAATGAAATAAAACACAGAAGACCAAAAAAAAAAAACCAAAAAAACATACTAGCAAGTAAATATATGCTAGGGACTCCCTGAGTTCAGCTGGACCAACTAGCTCTGATTCAGCACCAGTCACCTCTGAGCTGAAATCAACGCAGCATGGAAAACAAAAATAAAACAAACACAAGCCACAAAACCATCACCACCTTCCCTCACCCTAAAAAAGACCCAAAAACACACCGCAGAGCCAGCTCAGACCTGACACTTCAATCTGGGTTGATCAAACTTCTCAAAACATAAAGAGCTCAGCAATATTCCAGAGATTCTGCAGGAGTCAGGCAGCACCCAGTAATGTTCAGCTTCATCTTAGCACTGGCCATGCCAGACAAGTTGGCTCGTGACAAGCCACTTGGTGCTACGGTGAAGTCCCCAGATCCTGGCAGAAAGCCACATTAAATTAAGTACAGGACAAACCCTAAAGAGCTTCCAGAGGGCTGACAAGCAGGCAGGTTTCATCAGACAATTCACGTGGCGGAAGCACAGACACACCCCAGCAAAAACTGGCAGAAAAACAAACAAAACCCCGAAACCAACAAAACACCCCACACAATCAAAGCCCAGCAGAGACGCAGCCAACTCTGCAGAGCCACCCGGGTTTCTGCACTACAATCACAGCTCCTTGGGCACAGTTCAAACGACAGCGCAGCTGGCCCAGCAGCACCAGCCCAGCTCTGGCAGGGTTCAATAGCTCGAGCTCCATAATGCATGAAGTCCCTTGGACTTCTCCCAGAATACAGGTGCCTTTGAGCACAGCCCATTTGCTTCTACCGTGCTCTTATTCCTCAGCCTCACTGAGGGAGAACGCTTTTGCTGGTACAATCTACTACTTCCATCAAAAGGAATTACTAATATATATTTGCATGAATATTCACAAGCAGTTTGCTTTCTCCTCAAAGTTTACAGTTAGTTTATCAGTAGCTTCCTCCCATCCAGCTATTAAAACCCCCAAAAAGCAGCAACAGCTTTTTACACAGACAAGATTCCTCATCTTTGCATCTGTAAGGTGCTACTACAAATGATATAGTACGATTACTACAAACAGTCTGCAACAGTCTATGAAGAAGGATCAAGCACTACCCCTCTCATTAACCTATTTTTGTGCTGTGTTTTATCTCAAAGAGACTGGAGGGCAGGCTAGCTCTCCTTTAAAAGCACTTGGCTGGTGAATACTTGCCAAACATAGATTATATAATTGTTTTAAATGGCTGAACTGAGCTACATGAAGTTTAACTTTTTTGTTTCTTCTCAGTCTGAAAGCCCATGATACATTTAAATCTCCTAGTTCCATGGCTGTTGCAGAACTGGATGCTGTCTCTTTACTGGCAGACTTCACTAAGAAGTTTGGAGAATGAAAAGATTTCCCTAGCCAGGCTAAACTACTCTTCAGTGGGTGGGAGGAAAGCATTTGAGCAGACTATTAAACAAATTACGCTTTTAGCCTTTATGACTGAAAGACAGTATTAGGAAAGTTAGGTGTCCTCCTCCTACCCTACAAGAAAAAAACCAAAAAAGCATTTCTAGCAGCACTCTCTCTTTGCCTTTCATGAATACCAAGAGAAACAGACAAGAATTTCACTGTGCTGCAGAATTTCTCTGCCCACAGCTTAAAGAAGAAAAACATACAAGAATTAAGTCAAATTCTCTGGTTTTCTATTTTGGAAAGTTAAGAAAGAGCAACCAAGAATTAGAGCTTACAGGGGAAGAAATGAAATCCTACTGAAGTTGCGACAGTAGGGAGAAGCTGGAATTCATTTTTCTTTAGCAACAAAAAAAGTTGTTTCATTTAGGAAAAAAAGTTGTTAGAACCTCTTCAGTCAAATAAATACACTTGCTATTTGAAGTTGCATAAAGGCAGCCACATGAATTGCCTTCACACTTCCCTGGGGCAAGCTCTAGCTCCCAGTGTGAAGAGTGACCTTTTTGTTATCTTACATGTAAGCGCATGCTCTAACCTGTGTCAGTCCTGACACATCCAGAGTGACGTTACAGTGCACGCACAGCAAAACTGCACAGGCCCTCAGGCAGCACCTGTCCAACTCTTCTACTGCAACTGGGCCAAGCTGGGCACGTTCTCACAGCCTAGTCTCCCGCACCTTTCCCTCATTTGGCAATTCACAACTAACAAAGAGCACACAAACCAACATTCCCATTCACAGAAACACTTGTCCTGTTGCCTCTTTTTACTGTTTTCACGAGACGATCTCATACAGCTAACACGCCGGAGCCAGGTCTGGGAGGATGCTCAGAAACATCTGCCAATACCTTATAAAAAAGCAGGGTAAAGTCACGCGTCATTTTCACCAAGTGACGTATATGCTCATCGGTCAGCTGGCAAACCTGTAAGACAAGAACAACTTTTAAACTACTATGATGCTAAGGGACAACAGCAGAAAGACCTAGAGCGCAGGGACACTTTGAACACCTTCAGCTAATGTGGAATTGCACTGCTTCTTGTTACAGTAATTCTCTGACCCTACATCACATACACCATCTCAGTAAGAGAGTGCGTTTTCACACTACACAAACTCACTGTGTGAACACCAAGGTACTCTGTCTCAGCCGTGAGAAACATGAGGTAAAAATTTCAGTGGTTTTCCTCCCTACTGACCTAAGAGTTCCTGATCACAGGAATCACGTGGAGTTAGCAGCCATAATTCCTCCCACTTCCCTCCTAATTTCCTCATGGATTAGGATATGACCCACCTATCATCAGAGGCTCTTTCCTGAGAGAGATCTTCAGGAAGAACACCTGAGCCAACGGCATCACAATTAGAGAGATGTAACAACCAAATGCATTTTTGTTAGGAACTCAAAATTTTAAGTCACATTTTGATTTCCTCTGCCAGCCCACGTTGCAGATACAGTTAAAATCCAGACTGATCTTGAAAAGAACTTTCAGGAATACTGTTTAAAACACTCTTCAGTTACTATCTTCACCAGCTTTCCCTTCCATTCTATGTAATCGCAACCTGTTTTGCTAACATCAGACTTCTTTTTAACCAAGTTTGGAGACACATGCTTGACGATCTTACCCAAAAAAAGTACTGCAAACAATGTTAGGAAAGCAAAGATGCCAGCCAGCAGGACAAGAAGTGGGAGAAGCAGCTGCAAAAGTAATCAACTCTACCACACAAACAATTTGGGTTGTCACTCAACAAAGAAAACTTGAACACTCTTCACTTTCATTTATTTATAGGCTGACAATTTAACAGGATGCCAAAGTCAGGATGTGAAAGTTAAATTCCCTACTAAGGAGAGGTTTCAAGTTGTAAGAGCGAAGGCTTAGCCCCACTAAGTATGTCGACTCCCTGAGGCTGGAATAGCAGCAACAGGTTCCAAGGAATGCCATGACAAGTTATCTCCAGTTACAATCATAAAATGTTAATTTAGTGTCTTAGAATAACTTAAGAAATAACAGATGATAAAACAAAGAAGATGACAAAATGTTATATAAATATGTATTTACATTCTTAATACTTTGGTGTCTTTAAAAACACTCTTGAGATATTTCACCCACCTTAACAGCTGGATGAAGACCACTGTCAAACAGTGCTTCGTTTTTTATGATATTTCCCACTCCAGGCAATACCGATTGATCCAGTAACACGTCACACAGCATCCGGGTTTTCTGCTGCTTGATCTCACTTTGTGCTCTGAAGAAGCTGAACTTTGGAGAACAGACATCCAAGCTTTCCATCCTTCTCACTTTCCGCTCGCTCTCAGCTGCATTTCTGGAAGATGAAAAATACATTAAGATTTATTTTAATGATATGCTAACACAGCAGTACGGTTTTAAAAACAACAGATCAAAGTTTAACAGAACATTATATGCAGATAACAGAAACCATGAAAATACCAATGACAGGAAGAGGCACAGAAATTACATTAACCACCCCTCCCAAAGCCACACCAGTGATACATGCATGGAAGATGCATCTGGTCCAACGTACAAGAAATCATCCTTATTTTGTTCATACTAGTCTGAAAAAGTAATTGCCAAGTCCTTGCTTTTGAACTACTTCCAACACGGAAAGACCATGTGTTTGGACCATCAAACATAGCGTAACCGTATGGTTACATGGTCCAGTAATTACAACATAATAATAATAAAAGACAAATTTTCTTAAACCTTGATTTTATTAGGTTAAGCAAAATTGTTTAAAAACACAGCACAAGTCTCAAGCTTACACAAGCTTTTATGTTTTGTAGTACTAAATATGCATATATATGTTACTTGAATTTACATGCTCCTTTTCACCCAAGAGCCTCAAATGCTTTAAAAATCAAGCCTGCTATGTTATTTCTGTCAGCAGTGAGAAGTACAATGCTGATGGCCAAAAACATCCACCTAATGTCAATTAGAGCAATTACACCGATTTGCTTCCAAAAAGAAAACAAAAACAGAAGCACAACCTGGGGGAGCATAAAAATTTGCAACCAGTAATGTCCTTATTATTGTTAAGGGAGTGAGACTCATGCAGAAACTCAAGGAGCAACGGGGTTCAGCATTCAGACCTTAGGTTTAAATCCAAACTTCATTACCAGTCTTGAAACTCTCTAACGAGACTCCAGCACAGAACTATTTTAACTGCATATAAACTCTGATGCAAAAGTAACAAAATTAAATTACCATACCCATAAATAGGATACGTCCAGAAAGTTCTGGTGTCTTTCTTTCTGCCTATGATGGCTTTCAAGGACTTAACAATTTGTGTGTGATTTTTCACCACGTTCTCACCAGAATGTTATTAGAAGACATAAACCAAGGCATGTTTCATTTGGTTAGTTTCTGCTTTACCTATAATCTACTGTCACCTCAAAAAAACAAACAGTATCCTCTGTAAGCTGTATCTCCAAAACTGGTGTTGCTCCATTTCTGTCATTGCTTCTGTCGGGATTAATCCGCATGGAACCATTCATACCAAAGTGAATCCTTGGAGAGAAAAAGAGAGTTCTTACAGGTATTTTATCTTAACAATCACGTTACACTAGTCTGTTCTCTGAAGTTATGCACTATTCTTACCCACCCAAGTCAGTGTGGGTGTACATTAAGCCCAGTCATTAAGACTAACACAGCAACAAACGACTTGTTTAGGTAGTGCTCAATCCCCAGAGAAGAACCCTCCCCAAGTCAAAACCACTCGACACCACAGCAGTTTTCCAGTGGTCTTCGTAATCCATCACACAGAAGGCAAACCTGATCACAAAGAAACATTTTTGCTGGCATATTGCACTCAGACTTTTTTCACTTCTCATGCTAGTCTTCCAACATAGGCCCTCAGGGAGGCTGAAAGAAATGAAGCTACTTCACCAGACAACTTTCTGTAAAATCAGGCAGAAGTCACCTGTTATGAAAGGCTTCAGTCCCCATATTGCCAACACTGTTATCACATCAAAGCTACTTCCAGTAACGCCATAAACAAAGTAATTAACATCTGCCATATGCTGTTTTCTGCTTTTCTTTGCCTACAACCAAGGCAAAACCTGCAGGTCAATTAAAAATTAATAAAAGAAATAAACTGAAAAATGCACAGATGGCAAAGGAGTGGAACAGACTCTTTCAAGCATTCCTTTTACAGATCACTAATGTTTTAAGAGGTCTTACATTTCATAATATACTCTCCTGGGAGCTAGTACACTTGAGCAAAGGACAAGTTTGCCTGTGCTCTCATACGTTTGATTTCTTACAAATCCACCTGGTACGTTCGAGTCCTAAACCACCGTAAGCTAGAGGGAGCGTCCTCCTGCTATACACTGTACACCAGAAAAGGTGGATTATTTCCTAGCCACAAAAAGATTTAACACATTAAACGACACAAATGACCAAAGAAGCACAACGTCAGGTGTCTTTCGTTTTAGCCCCTCTGTTACATTTCAGGAAGGATAGGGTATTTTAAATATTTACAGATAGGTTAAAACAACATTTCATTAAGCACGGTCCTAAAGTAAACTCTTTATATAACACCCTCACAGCCTTTGTTCATTATGTGTTTTCAATTTTTAAAAACTTCTGTCTTTCCAAAACTGTCGTCTTGCAAGTCAGTTCAGCTGACATAGTTATTTCACCCCTTTTATTTTCAATTGCCAATTCTCAAGTGCCATGAATAGTACCGCACAGGCTTAACCAGTAAAATTGCTTTTTAAACCAAGCAGTAATGCCCTAAATGCTTCCAGAAGGTTCTTTTTAAGGAAACAGCATTCACATTAATAGCTGATGGTTTCATTTAGATTAGGTATCAGGAAGAAGTTCTTCCCACAGAGGGTGGGGAGCACTGGGACAGGTTGCCCAGAGAAGCTGTGGATGCCCCATCCCTGGAAGTGTCCAAGGCCAGGCTGGATGAGGCTGGGAGCAACCTGGTCTAGTGGAAGGTGTCCCTGCCCATGGCAGGGGGGTTGGAACTGGATGGTCTTTAACGTCCCTTCCAACCCAAACCATTCTACGATTTACCAAGCTCCAGTACAGTTTTTAAAGGGAGTATTAACAATCACAATTGCTAACTACCTTAGTGACTGGTTAGTTCATGACTACAAAAAATAATTAAGTCACCCCTACACATTTACACTCAAAAGCCTTAAGAAATTTACAAAATTTCACTCCTATGTGTTTCATTACCTTTGATGTCCTGAAATACGGCAAAACAGAAATCTCCTCATTTTAATTACAAATAGAAAAGCCATGCTAATTAAACCTAGGATCTGTTATTCAGTGATAGCTAGTAGTAAGGACTCGATGATTCTTTTGTTGTTTTAAAGAAAAAAGGTGAGGTTTTAAAATTACTTAGTGCCACACAATATTGCAAGGATCTGCTTTTATTTAAAACATTTTTCCCGTAAAAAGAAAATATTAGTAGCAGCACAGACAAAACTATTATATGGAGATGCAAAAAACAACAGTGACAAGTCACATGATGAAATTCCAAGGGCCAAGATGTAACTTGCATTCAAGACAGTAGAAGTCTTTCCTTTAAGGGATTTGGAGTCAACAGTTATCTCTTCCCTAAGAGTATTTTTTTCTGTTCTCAGTTATACAAAAACTTAGGTGCATTATAAATTTTCAGAAACTTTTCTAAACCATTTATCACTCCAAATTTACATTAATCTCGCATTATAGAAACTGAACCCAGAACCTCTCACATACCTGCACCATTTCCATGGCAAAATATCCATGTAAGTCTCTCCTGCACAATCTGGAAGTATCTGAGAACTTTTTTTCGAGTTTTGATTTTTAAGTGACTTCCAAGGCAAAGTTGGAAAAAAAAAAATCCTCAGATTTTCAAAAAACCCTTGAATTTCTTCAGTGATTTTAATGTCTTTGTTTAAAACGACATTAAAAAGTAGAAGTACCAATTTCTTCAGAAGGTGGCATTGCTTATTTCTACTCAAAAAAAAAAAAAAAAAAGCAGCTTCTACTGCCCACCATGGATTGCAAATATACTGAACTGAACTTGGTTTGCTAATTGCTCTCCATGACATGGCAACACTTCAGAAGCATCATCCTCATTTGCATGTCAGGCAAGCAGTAGCCAAATTGTATAATACAATTTCATGGGCAGGTTATCTTCTCCCACCAGGCAGTCATTCCCCACTCGAGAAAATCCCAGAGCATAAAATGAGTTAATTACCCTTCATGGCCGAGTCTTTCACAAGACATGCCTGACTAACATTATTCCAGCATGACTACCAGCTTTTTACAGGTAATCTTAGCAGATGAGAAAAGCTGGTTTTGTAACGTTGAGAAACTACGTACAGATACAGAAACTGTGTATCAGTAACCTTCCTCATGACAAAATTCCTGTCTTTTGTGAGTTAACTTTAATAAAGAAATAATACATCCCCCTTATGTCCTCCCCCAGTAACAATCCTGGCAGCCAGTCTTAGCCTGCTGTAAGATGCTGCTTCTGAGGTCTTCCTTGACCTCCTGTCAACATCTTTAAGATGCACAACATACATTTTTTAAAACAAGTGAAGAGCTTCATTAACCAATAGTAACTTCTGCCTCCTGTGCAGAGGAGACCTTTCCTGTACAAAACTTCTGCAGTGTTTCTGATCAAATAAATTACATGGCTAAAGGGACTTATTAAATACAGTTTCTAGAACTACAATAACTGATGAATTGATGAAATTTTTAAGCTTATTATCAAATGATAACTGAAGGTTGTTTTAATTAAGCCTAAGTTATTGCCTTGGCTAGAAAGCTTAGGAATTATTTAAGATCTTTCAGGGTCAAAGGATTTTATTTTCCACACTAGAATTTGGCTACATTATCTTTGAAGAGAAATTTTGCAAAATGCTTACTTATATTCCTTAGCAACAGCTTTTTTCTTGTGATGATGTAATTCAGTCTGTTGAAACAATGTTTTTATTGTATAGTTTTTCTTATTTATAATTTATTCCTTTAATTATCCAATCATTCTGTAATACATACAATAGTCATTTAAAAAAGGCTCACAGCTATATCAGTTACCTCCCCTGAGTTTTTTATCTTCCTTTAAAAGTGACTTATCTTTTTAAAAACTGCTTTTTGTTCTCTGTTTCTATTTAATAAAGCACAACACAAAGCAACAGAAACTGATTAAGACTATAATCTTATCCTTCACAAATATGGGTAGCTTTAAACAAATATGCAGTCCTGTCCTACTAGTGACTTGTAGGATTGTCATGTAAAGACTGGTATGTGCTTGTAAGCCTAGCTGCATTTCTCTAACACTTGGAGAAATAAGCCTGTGACACTCTGATAACCAGAAGGCCCCAGCTACCAAAGGTCAGCCTACACATCCTCCCAGGTAACTACTAATATATCACTGCCTTTATCCAGCATGAACTGTTGCACTCGCAGCCAAGCATTTTCAGTTCTATCTTCCTCCTACATCAGCAGTGCACTGGCAAAACATTATGTCACAGAGTTGTAAGGTATTTGTTGATATTATCAATTTTAAATGAACAAAAATCATGACCTTACACCTTTGTTCAGGATGGGTCACTAGGTGACAAAGACTACACTGAAAGTAGAAGTGCTGTTGTTTTTCCCTTTTAAAGATTTATGAAGATTAGAACTATGTTGCAAGTAGAAGGGTAAAAGAAAAGCATTAAATGCAAGCCTTACCCATTAAATAAAGGCCCTACTTATGTATCCTATACTGATTATCATAAAGAATGAGAGGGGATTTTTTAACAGTCCATTACACTGTGCATTTGGTTACATTTATTTTTAGTTGACTTTGCAGTACTGAAGCATATCGAACTACAAAAAGTAAACTAAATTCCAAGTACAACCTTAGTGACTAGTACAAGAAGATATCCAAGGGGTTAAAGCATAGGACAAAATCCTGAACATGCCAACAAACCCCTAATAAGCTCTGCAAAGCATGAACAAACAGTGATTTAGGCAGTTTTACCACCTGTTTAGGAGACACGGTTTCACTGGAAAGTTAAGAGTTACATTTGTGACACCCAAATTTCAAGTCATAGTTCCAAACCAAGGAGTTATTAATATTGTTATGAGAAAGAAAGACAGCATAAATGCATATGCACATACATATTCTAGGTTTGGCAATTTTTCACCTAAGTTTATTATTAGAGCAATTGAATCATTAAATATTAAAGTACAGAATTTCAGTCTACATTTCCTCAGGAAACTTAAAAAGAAATTGCAAGTACGGTTTGTAGCGGAAGACAATTGTAACTGCACGCCCTTCTCTGAGTTTTGACCCTGGAAAATGCAATTACCTGTTTGAAACAAAGCATTTCAAGGAGTATCCTTTTCAGATACCTTTACATGGAATCTTAGTCTAAGAATACAGCAATAAATTATCTGAAAATGTGACTATATCTGGTATTTCCAGCACTGCAGAGAGACTGCTAAGTTCATCAGCAACACTAACTTTCAAGCTGACATGAGGAAGAACAAGCCGACCCCTGGAATACATACAGTCTGAACAAAGTCTTTTTCTCACATCTTACCTCAAGGCTTTCTGATCAAAATACATAAAAAGTTCCTTTCCCAATGTCTCCACACCCCTGTAAACATGTCCGACAAGGAAATCGTGACCAGAGGTTCGCTCCTCACTTGCAGCAGTCTGAAAATGAGTGCACACACACAAAGATTAAAACAGAACTTCTACTACTTTGATTCTAGCATCAGTACACTCTCAGCAAGCAGCTGTATGAACTGATTTTCCAGCTTGGACAACATTAAAACTTTTCTCCTTAAGCAGCTCTATCAAAACCACTGAGACTATTAACCCAGGAAGGAGACAGTCACTGTTGCTAACACGATCATAACTTAGCTTGCTCTTTTCCAAACTGAAAAAATACATATTTTTTATCAGGGTATTTTATGCTTCTTCCTTAAATTTACATGAATTCACAATTGGAGTTTTAAGCTGATGTGAAACAACAGGTATAGTTTGAGTATTAAATTCTAACCAGCGTGTCAATCCTGCCATTTCCAGACCTACCTCCTTCTCCAAATGCCTCTTGCTGGAGTTGTTACCCATGCTAATTATACACTTTCAGTGCAGCATTGTATATTACAGAAAACCCTCTACTGAGCCAACAGAGATGGCTCTTTTCCTACTAGTTTAAAGTCTAACCTTAGATGATGCTGAACAGCAGGTGGGACACTACTAACGGACAAGAAAAAGATAATTGTGAGACTGAAGCAATAATCTTTTCTTGCTTAGCACATGAAACTCCACTGAAATTATGAGACCTCTTCAGGTTACCTGGTCCAAACACCTGCTAAAAGCAGGACTGACTGAGGTCAGGCAGCCCAGGGCCTTCTCCAGTCAACTTCAGAGTAGCTCCAGGGATGGAGACTCTCATCTCTCTTGGCCCTTTTTCCAGGGCTTGACTATTGTGGTAGAAAAATTTTCCTAATAACTAAGTAGAGTTTCTCCTATTGTTGCCTACATCTGCTGCCTCTCACCCTACCCACCTCTGACAAGACTCGAGCTCTATCTCCTCCATACCCTCCTTTTAGGTAGCTGAAAAGAGCATTAAAAACGCAGTTCTACCAGCTTCTCCAGGTTTATGATGTGCTTCAGCCTGCTAATCATACCCAGGGACTCACTTGAGTATGTTATTATCTTTTCTCTATTGCTGAGTCAAAAACTGGACACTGTCATCCAGATGCAGGCTTGGAAGTGCTGAACAGAGGTAAGAATCACTCTGCTCAGCCTGCTGGCCAGAGAGTCATGTGCACAGTCCAGTATGCGGCTGGCCCTCTTCCTTGGAAGGGCACACTAGTGACTGGGACTCAGCTAGTATAGGACCCTAAGTCTGTTCTTATTGTGGAGCTGTTTTCCATCTGACCAGCAGCCAGGCCTGTGCCATTACATAACAGTATTCTGTTCCAAGTGCAGGACTCCGCAAGCCCTGCAAGTTGAATTTCTACCAGCCCATTTTTCTCAGCCTGTAAAGGTCCCCCTAACTAGCACCTCAAGGTCCCCAGAAGGTCCATTCAGCTCCTCCTGAAACCTGGAAGCAGTGTATTCACCGTCATCAGAGCCCTAACTACACGGCACAAATCTGCGTACCCGTGCTTCAATCACAACACTCGACTGCAATGCAAATATGCATGAAAGCGACTCCAGCAAATCAACAAGGCTTCAGCTAGTTAGTAAAATTTCAGAGCTATTCTCTATACAATCTCCCACTGTATTATTACCTTGAAATGTTACACATTTAGAGGGGTTTATGGTTATTATTCTGTCAAGCAGAAAAATAAAAATATTTTTTGCATAATGTCAACATCATTGACTTTGCCTATTATCAAAATATGAAGAAAGCAAAATTTTGCTCTCAAATAAACAGTTCATCCATTCCAATAAACGCAGTAAAGTAAGGTGGTGTGCAACAAGGTTTATATTCATTTTTAGCCAGAGAGGTTTGTTTAAACTAAACCAGAGCATGAAGTGACAGAGATGGAAAACTAACTTGGGGTTTTTTTCCCAATTATTTTAAGTTAAATTCATACCACTTTGATATCAGAGAAGACCTTAGAGTCATCCCAGTAAAAACTCCTGAACAATGTAGTCTTCAACAGCAGCCAAGGCTTTGGCCATGGTTAGCAGCCACTGAGAGATCTAAAAAGCCCAAGACCCTAATGATGGTCATTTGCCAGTGCGTAGTCTGCCCTGAGGTGACTTTTGCTGTACAAAGTAAGTAACATCAATCTATCTGAGGGAATGAAGGTTTTTTTTGAAACCACAGGAGCATAACTCCTCGCTTCAAAAAGCTTAGTCCTTAAAGACACAAACCTATAAAGACTGATCTGTTGACTGCCTATCTTGAACCACATTATTCCTTAAATCCTTTCACTGAGGTACTATCTTACTGAGCTTTCATGATGAACTCCCTACATTGGAGGTGGGAAAAAATTCCCCAACTTTCTGTCTGGAGGCATCCAACTTGTTTACTTGGGACATAAGCGATGCACAATTTCTCACAGCTGAGCAAAACGAGGCATGAAAAAAACAAAAAAACCCTCTAGTTGCTTCCATCATCAAACCCAGAGGACCCCTTCTTCACAGCTCATCAGCTCCGCCTGCTTACTGACAGCCCAGCTTTTCCTTCTGCCGGGTCTCGTGAGCCCCGCCGGAGTTTTCTGCTGGTGAATTATTTTATGCTGCCAACAGAAAGGATAAAAACTAGCAGAAAAATCACATATATGTACACTGAGAGCAGACACCACGCTCCTGACTTATTTAAATAGTTGGTCTAATTAAAAATACTTGGAAAAAAAAAGTTACAGAAGTCAAAGCTCCCTTCCTGCAGGCCAGCGTACACCCTTCTCCATCGCGTTTCATTCAGGCTTAAGGAATGAAGAAAAAATTAGAATTAGGAACTGCTACTATATTTTTTCTTGTATTGCCGGTTTCCTGAAGCTAAAAGACATTTTAAAATTTACCCCAAGTGAAGGAGAGCTTTTTTAAAGGCTTCCCTTCATTACTCCCGAAAGCCCCGGCGTTGCGACAGCCCCAGCACCTGGAGACACCGACCCGCAGGGCTGACCGTGCCGCCCCCCCCAACATTTCACCACTTCAGGGGAGAAGCAGGACAGCGGCCCAGGCGCGGGGGCTCTGCCGC